GATTGACTGATGGTGATTTTATCAATACCAATTGGAGTGGTGCTCCAGACGTTTTGGAATTGCACCCAAGGCACCTATTACTATTGGTACTATCTTTGCTTTCTTTTTCCACAGTCATTCTATTATTATTATTGTTATTTGCTCTGTGCTTCCCCCTTGCAGGTAGATGAGGGCATGCACCTACTGATCACTGGGCCGAATGGATGTGGGAAGAGCTCACTCTTCCGGATCCTGGGGGGGCTTTGGCCAACTTATGATGGCACCCTCTACAAGCCACCTCCTCATCGAATGTTCTACATTCCGCAGAGGTACAGTATTGCAGGGGAGGGTGGGGAATTGTGGGCAAACCAAAAGAGAGGCTGGCCCTCTTGCATTGAGTTCTGAGTACACAGTATGAGGAGTGGAATAAGAACAGGAAGATGTGGATTCCAAAGATCTGTATCCTAGTTGCCCCAGGGCTCTGATCTTTTTTTCATATCAGAGAAAGCAAACTGATGTGGTTTCATATCAGAGAAAGCAAACTGCAGCATTCTGGGGCTTTCCAGCTTAATTAAATAGCAGTTTTCATCATCCCAGGATGGCTATTGCACATGCTGGCTGGTGGTGATGGGAACACAGCTGAAGGCCACCAAGCTGAGGAAGGTTGCGCTCGGTTTCTGTCATCCTCTCACCTTGCTCAACTGATATGGCGATGCAGCCTCCTTTAAAGGGCTATCAAAACCCTAACTCTGAACAGTTGCAGCTGCTCTTCAAATGCCAATTAGTGTGATTTGTTTACTTGGCATTTCACTGTAGACCATACATGTCTGTGGGCACCCTGAGAGACCAGGTGATTTATCCAGACACATTCAAGGACATGAGACGGAAAGGACACACCGATTCTGACCTGGAACGGATCCTGGACATCGTCAACCTCAACTACATTGTGCAACGTGAAGGAGGTGGGTGCCTCTGTGGCATAGATGGAGAAGGTGGCAAGCAAACACCTTTATTTCTCTTACTGAAGGCAGCAGGGTAGGGAAATGTATTCTGTGACTTCTCTTGTCTTTGCTTTACATGCAGCAGACAGGGAAGCAGGGGAGGTGGAAAAACTGGACACACAGAACAAATAACAGTAGAACCTCTTCTATATTTATTTATTGCTGGGATCAGGTTGGGAAGCAGTCAGCGACTGGAAGGATGTGCTTTCAGGTGGCGAGAAGCAGCGAATGGGGATGGCCCGGATGTTCTATCACAGGTTAGTGCCTAGAATTGCATTTTCTGCCCATGATATGGGAAGGTATGTTCTTTCTGAGATTGGTGGGTACTTCACACCACTCCTAGGAGAAAACAGCAAAACAAAAACTGGATGCTGGATGAAATCAGAGTCACACAAAGAGCTTCGAAAAGAATGTGGGTTGGGGAGAACTGGTCAGGATCAATTTCAAATGTATTGCTTGACTTGATCAAACTCATATGCCATCGTAATCACAGAAGATTCCCAGTACTTAACAATATAGACATAAAAATCAAATAAAATAAAACTCTAAATAGCAATGACCATAATAATAATGATAATAGTGTAATCCAAGCCAAAAGTGGCCACTTCCCTTATTTCCTGAATTGACTTTGAAATAATTTCAACTTAACTAGTGTTTGGAAAGCAGACAAGCCTGCCAAAGAACAAGACTGTTCCATTGGGCAGGTCTTTATATTTCCAGGTCTCTGCTTCCTTCCCCTCACATTAAGAGGTTACTGGATAACTAATTCCACTAGAAAGAGATGGTCCTGATGCTGCAAGGGACAAGAATAAAGGGAAGGAAGAGGGAAGCACAGTATAGGAGTGGCAGATGGTGTGCTAGACTAGCTAAACAGTCATTTGGAATTGCTGACTTGGGCCCTCACTTCCTTGCCCCAGGCCAAAGTACGCTCTCCTGGATGAATGCACCAGTGCCGTCAGTATTGATGTAGAAGGCAAGATCTTCCAAGCAGCAAAGGATGCAGGAATAGCACTGCTCTCCATCACACACCGACCTTCATTGTGGTATGTCTTGTTCTCTGCCCAGGATATTATGATGCTTTATACCTTCCCTTCCTTGCTTAAAGATGTTTGTTTTTGTTTTTATATGAATAGATATTTGTTATACATATATTACCACATGTACTGGATTCCCAGGAGTCCCTGATTAGGTCCTCCAAAACAACAAAGTCTCTTGTGTTATTAATCTCTAAGGTATCACAAGATTCTTTGTTATTTTACATTTACTGTAGCATCAAGTTTCTATGAATTACATTCCATTTCATCGGGGTAATACAGAGAGAATTATATTGTAAAAGGAGTAGAAGTATAATCAAAATTTGGGGGAGAGAACAGTACTAAATTAAGAGGTTAAATGAAATGTAGGAGGTACAGACACTAACAACTGCTTATAAATAGTGGATATTCATGAAACTGCTTTGGGTTTGACACAGTCATTCTTACTAACAAATTAATTGAAACTTAGTGATTGGATTCAGACAACATGTAAAGCCATCATGTGGCTCATATGTTTGTGCTGTACGAACCCACTCATTGTGATTTGTAAGATATGATTATGGCTTAGTATGATCTGTGAACCAAGCTATATTGTAATAAAAATGTTCATGTCTATTTAATCCATGAGAAATAGCATTCTGTTTCAGTGATATTACAGGTAGTCCTCATTTAGCGACTACCTTGTTTAGCAACCACAG